CCGCCGCCGCCCTCGCCCTCTACGCCCGCCTGCCGGTGCCGGCGGCGGGGCCGCCGGCCGTCACCGGAGGCCGGGCGGGCGGGGAGGTGAACGTGCTGCTGTGGTGGGAGCCCTTCGGGCGGCCACGGCGCACGCCCGACTGCCTGCGGCGGTACAACATCACCGGCTGCCGCCTCAGCGCCGACCGCAGCCGCTACGGCGAGGCGCAGGCCGTGCTCTTCCACCACCGAGACCTGGCCCTGCACGGTGCTCAGGGGCTGCCCCGCGGGCCCCCGCCGCGGCCCCCCCGGCAGCTCTGGGTGTGGATGAACTTCGAGTCGCCCTCGCACTCCCCCGGGCTGCGGGGGCTGGCCGGCCTCTTCAACTGGACCATGTCCTACCGGCGGGACTCGGACATCTTCGTGCCCTACGGCTACCTCTACGCCCTGCCGGCCCCCCGGCCCTTCGTCCTGCCCCGCAAGACGCGGCTGGTGGCCTGGGTCATCAGCAACTGGAACGAGGAGCACGCCCGGGTGCGCTACTACCGCCAGCTGAAGGAGCACCTGGCCATCGACGTGTACGGGGCGCGGGGGCTGGCACTGGCCAAGGGTGGCCTGGTGGAGACCGTCTCGGCCTACAAGTTCTACCTGGCCTTCGAGAACTCCCAGCACACCGACTACATCACCGAGAAGCTCTGGAGAAACGCCTTCGCCGCCAGCGCCGTGCCCATCGTCCTCGGCCCCCGCAGGGCCAACTACGAGCGCTTCATCCCCCCCGACTCCTTCATCCACGTCGACGACTTCCCCAGCCCTCGGCTGCTGGCCACCTACCTGAAATTCCTCGATAAAAGCAAGCCCAACTACAGGAGGTATTTTGCCTGGAGGAAGAAGTACGAGGTCCACGTCACCTCCTTCTGGGATGAGCACTTCTGTAAGGTTTGCGAGGCCGTGAGGGCAGCTGGGAATCAGATCAAGACTGTAGGAAATCTGGCCAGCTGGTTTGAAAGCTGATGTTCCTGGCAGGTGAGGTTCGCCAGCCTCAGTGGAGTGTGTCAAGGTGTAGGGAAGGATGGATCTCACGGAGATCATTAGCCGAGGAGGCGTGCAGGAGGCTGTCATCAGTCAGAGAAGCCTACAGGTACAGGTAAACGAGCTGTGAACAGCCCACGGAAAAATATTTTTATTAAAGTGCAAAATTACGAAAGTACAAAAGAAGCATCAGGCAAGATGATTCTTAAAGAGCAAAGTTAAATTTCCAGAAGTCGTACCGATCTGAAACCTTGTGCACAGCTCGACATAAGTTACAGATGCCAAGTTCTTCAGCCACACAGCTGAAACCAATTTTGTCGGCTGTGACAGCTTCCTGGACCATGAAGCTTTCTTCTGCTTACAGGGTATACATGATCAGCGCTGGCTTTCTGTACTCCGAAGACAAAAGTGAATATTTTCCAGTGAAAAGCTATTTGCAGATGAGTTCTGAGCCGCAAGTGTTGAATGTAAGAATGTAATGATACAGTAGCACTTTTTAGCAATGCTTGAAATTGCAGCAGCCAACCAATAATGCTTTGAGCCAAATAATAATTCCATTTAGGAAAAAGTGTATGGAGGGGACTGGATCCAAGTGGAACAAACAGCTCAGATGATGCAGAGTATTTCTTCTACTGTCTACTGAGACCATCAGTGTGTTTATGAAGGTGGAGAAGAATATTAAGTACAGAAAAAGACAGACTGTAGAAAAAAAGATGGAATGTTTCCACCCTCCCTTTTTTCAGGAATTAGAAAATGTTTACAGGAATCTGCATGTTTTTCTCTGCAAAATTACTGCCATATAGGAAAAAAGCAGGGAAAGGCTCAGAACTACAGGGTTTTTATTACTATATTGAATCATGTATACGAAAAGGCTAACTTAATTCTCTAGTATCATTAGGCTGTCCTGTTGTGTAGTGATTTGATTTATGGCATGTGTTTTTAAAAATTCTGCTGCATGGCAGACTGCCCAGGATGCCACTTTGCTGTTTGTAAAATAATTATTACCAAAAAAAACCCAAACCACCCAAACCTCAAGTCTCAAATCGCTGCCTTTCAAAAGGAAAATTTCTGTAGAGAATAAGATCTAGACTGTTGGTAAAATACAGATTGTGCGAGGAAAGAATATGAAAAACAAAAATTTACTGGTTTGGGGTTTTTTTCCCTTTGGTTTTGAAGGGTTTTACTGGCTCAGTTTTTTAATCAATAAGTAGGTTCCTAAGATAAAGGTTTCTTCTCTCAGTGCCTCCCGGGAACATTGACTGTAGTTACTCCCTTTCAGACTCTGCCATTTTGCTGGAGTCTTCGCAGTAGTCAGCGTACGGTTACTTTTTGGTTACATGTTTCCCACTTGCTTCCCACGTATTTTCACCACTTGTTTGGTGAAATCCAAAAGGAGACTTCAATTGCAATTATGCATCCTCAGGAAGCTGAGCCTTCCCTTCCCTTTGCAACTATAAGGTTTAGTGGCAAAAAATGATAACCCACAGGAGTCCTGCACAAATGATTTAAGAGGTTTGTCTAGTTACCCAGAGGCTTAATTTGGAATAAAATCATGGGCACAGAATAGGTGGGGAAAGACTACAGTCAGTTGTCAATAGAAGATGGGCATCAGAACAGGTGAGTTTACTGGCATTTGTGGTTAGAAAAGGATTAGATTTGATGAGCAATAAGGGATGTTGGGTAGATGCTCTGAGCTGACAACCTACGGTAATTTATTTAAAATAAGATGTGCCTTATGAATAGGTAAGCATAGAACTAAAGATTATTGAAAAAGTGTTTCTCTGCTGTGGCTACTGCTCTCATAAAATTGGTTTTGATAATTTTTAAAATCTTAATTTACGTATAGCATTAACAGTAATAGCTAAGCGTCAGGATAATAAAATCTGTCTCCCATTGAATTACCCTTTTTTTCTGTTTAGTTTTTATCAGGGTTCATATAAATGTATACAAGACCACAATCTTAAAAATGGTGAACTAAGATTGCACTACTTTTTATCAGCCTGCTGAAACTAATTCATTTTTTACAGTCCTCCTGAATTTTTTAGCATTTTCTAAAAGTTTCCAGACACACAATTCTTCTATATAATCATTAATAATGCCACAGGCTACAGGAGCATCGGAATTTCCAAAGATACTTGGCATCTGATACTTTTTTCTCAAAGAGAAGCAGTTGAAGTCTTTGATGAACAAGAGTTCTGTAAAATTCAGAAAAGACCTATGCAATGATTAAAGCATCATGTTTGAATAAGATGTTTGCAGTTGTCCTGCGTTTGTAAGTCATGCATTGAGTATTTTTGAGAACTGTATAATGAAAACTGCAGTATTGTAATAATTAGTGCGGAGGTCTTGCTTTGGGAAAAAAGAAGCTTTTTCTAGTTTTACAGTTCTTGCGTCAGCATTGCACGCTTTTCCCTTTAGATTTGGGAAGAAATTAAGCCCTGGTCTACAGCTGCTGAAGTCAGTAGAACAGCATCTCAATAAATCCAGTTTGGTTTTTGGCTCATCCGCTGATAATTAGTGTAGGACTGTGAGCTCAGGACTGGCTTTTGTAATTCACTTTGTAGAGCCCAAGTTCAACGGTGAATAAACAGTTTTGGCAAGCTGGATTGTAGATGGGGTACCAGGTTCCACAAGATGTAACCCATCTGTAAAAATTAAGCAAATATATTTTCTATTTTAATTAGAACAAACTATTTTAATACATTTCGATAAAGTGTTTTATTCCATGCCTTAAAATACTGGGGTGGAGGGAGAGAAAGGAAGACCATTTTCTTCTGGTTTTTATAAGGAGAACAAATAATATTACTTTTTGATTATGGTATAAATGGAACAGAGAATTATGTGATCCTTTAAGTTACGTGTTGTATCTCAGGGAATTTTATACTGTAAAGTCTCTTAATCTTCATAGAATGAAGTAATTTTGTCTTTGTATTAATTATTTAGATTGACTCTCAATAAAAATAAAGGAAGTAGCACAAAATGACCCTATTTTTTATTTCGTCTTCTTTCTGTGTATGAAAGCTGTAGAAAGCTGCTTTTTAAAGATAATTTATTTCTTTTCATGTTTGTTTAATCAATAAAAGTGGCTGATTGTTCTCCAAGTAGTCAGACTGTCTGAGGTTAGGAAAGAAACCTGGTTGCGCCAGGAGAAAAATATTTTAATAGGGGAGAGGCTGTACAGAGTTATTTTCCCCTGTGAAAAGGAGCATTTATTGGATGTTTGCTGGAAAAATGTCATTTCAAACAAAACCAAAAAACAAGCTTTCTCTTGACCTACAGAGAATTCAAATGCAGTTGGATTCCCCGCCCCCCCCGCCCTTAAATTTCAAAATTAAATAGAGATTGTGTTTATTATTGTGTTTATTTTGATACTCAGCAGGAATCAGCAGGCAGTACTACAGCTGCAGCTTTTTTCATGCTTGTTCATCGTTGCCTTCAACTGAACAGCAAAAGACAAAGGGCCCAAAGCTCTTTTCCAACAGCTTTGGCTAACGCTGGTCGCAGCACAGGTGATTGCCCACCTCTCTCTTTACTCGGGTCCTCCACTGCCTGGTGCAAGGTATTGAGATATTTCAGCCTTTCTGAAACTGTCAGCCTGGGTGAGTGCTACAGTCCTCACTTTCCTACCCCTCAGGTGACTGATGTATCACCACCACATTTAACTTCTGTAAGCAGAGCTTAAACTGACCGCTTGTTTACTCATGCCTGAGAGGGGAAATGGGAGGGGTTTGCTGGTTTTCCAGGTGTGATTGAACTCCAGGTTGGGGAAACCAGTGGAAATAGTTTTCTGCCAAACGTTGGGTTCAGGCCTGTTTGGTGACTCTTTAAGAAGTGAGTTATGCCTGATTAAACTCACTTGCACAGCTCTCTATCCAACAGTCATATAAAAAATATTTGTTTTAAGAGTGTAAACAGTCCTTTGTAGGGAGCGTAGAGCTGGCTCAGTCTAAAATCAGGAGCTGGGACTGTTTAGTTTGAGGAAGAGGAGGCTGAGGGGAGACCTCATCACTCTCTACATCTATTTGAAAGGACACTGTAGAGCGGTTGGTGCTGGTCTGTTCTCACAGGTAATTAACAACAGAACAAAAGGGAACTGCTTCAAGCTCCAACAGGGTAGGTTTAGATTGAACATTAGGAAAGAATTTTTCACAGAAAGAGTGGTCGGGCATTGGAACAGGCTGCCCAGGGAGGTGGTGGAGTCACCGTCCCTGGCTGTGTTTAAGAACCGTTTAGATGCGGTACTGAGGGATATGGTGCAGGGGAGAACTTTGTAGAGTAGGGTAGATGGTTGGACTCGATGATCCCAAGGGTCTCAAATTCGGTGGATTGATGGCTATTCCTGAGAATCTGGATCTGAAGAATATCTGAGGGGAGTAGGACAAAGCCTGTTTTTGAGAAGTGCTTTGAGAGCTGCGGGGTTTTGGGACCACCAGCCATAAAGTGCTCGCTCAGTGTCTTCAGGAAGGGTTCTGGAGCTACAAGCCATTTTAATTGGAAATTTTTCTCTTAATTAATAAAATAATTTTCTAAGCCCGTAAAGTCCTTCAATGATATTAGGTTTCTGGAATGATGACTGCATGGGTTTAAATTTTGCAAACAGAGTTAAAATGAGACTTTATTTCAGTGATGCTCAATATTTTAATAATATTCTTTTAATAGCTATCAAAAGATGGTCCAAAACTTGAAACCTAGAGCATGACTTGCATTTCTCTTTATTTATTAAACCGTCTTTGGAAGTTAATCAGCCCATGGCTTGGTGTTATGTATTATGCAAGACGATTCTGCTTTTCCATCCTCAAATTTGCCACTGGAATAAAAGATGCTTTAGGTATTTTGGATGACAGGAAGGTAAGTGCAGGAAGAAGCAGAGCACACTAGCAATGCCCAAGCTGTGGCATCCTGTGGCTCTGAGATCCTGATCACCAGAGTGCCTAGGACTGGAGACTGGCCATCTTGTTTATGAGCAGAAGGCAGAAAGATAAAGAAAGATGATCACAAACATGAAGAGCAAACAAAATAAGAAGATTATCGTATTGCCAATACGTTTTGGTGCATTCATAATGCTGCCAAATAATTTTGTGCGGTGTTAAGGATGATGGATTTATTTGAAGCAAGAGCAACAGGGCTACATGGAATACAGCAAAATAATTATTCTGAAGACAAAGTTGGATTTAAAATGGAAAAATGATACAGAAATTAAAAAAAAAGAAAAGAAAAGAAAAGAGAACGGTTTGCAATTACAGGAAAGAATGGATGTACATTTTAAATTCATAACTCCAAACAAAGAGAATTTTCTTGGAAAAGCTGACTCTAGCCCCAATTAAAAACAGAGAACATGGATTCAGGGTCATGCTTGTGCTCATGCTTACATCTGTTTCTGAATAGGAATGGCCTCCTGAGATTAGGGCAGAGCTCTGAACATTCTTACTTCCCTTCCAGTCCCAAAACTACATTTTGCTTAGCTTAATCCTACTTTCCCTCCTCTGTCCTTCATATGTTGCTCCTCAAATGTGTGCAGGCCTGTGGCTCCAGTGGCTTCTCGCTTTGGAGAAGCAGAGCTAGGAAGAGACAAGTTAATATATGGATTTTTGCTGATAAATTTGGTCAGGTTTTGCAGTAGTCCTGGGATAAATGCAAGTAAGCAATAGAGGCTGAAGACAAAACAGACAAGTGTGTTTTCATGGTAGTATTTTATCCCAGACCCCAGCCTGGAGTGAAACATCAGATTTTAAAGCTGAGACTTAGGCTGGGAGTTTTGTGTTTATTGGTGGAGATTATTTTATTGGGTACCCCTAAGATTCCCACTGCTGTGTTATCTCAGAACCACAGAGATGGACTATGGAGGCAAAGACTTTGTTCAGTATGTCTGTGCTGTGAAAGAAAGGTTAATTAGAGCAGGACTGTGCTGGGTTCAGGCTTTGATAAAGTACCATCAGGCTTATTAATGAAAACATGCAGTTTGACCACCCTGTCTGTTGCAGTAACTGTGGCGAGGGCTGTTTTCTGCACCGTATCCTTGGAGAAAAGCTGGAGCCTGCGTGATGCTGAGTCAATCTTCCTCGTAATTCAGAGTGGGGTTTTATTCCATTGTGCTGCCATTCCGTCAGATCTAGATTTTATTCTTAAATGCAGACATTAAATGTATTCTACCATTTTACAAACGTACTTTAAAATAATGACAAGAATTTGGAAATATATTTCATTGATGTAACTGGGAAAAGGAAGTTGTTTGTGGCTTTATAGCACTGAGCTAAGAACCGGAGGGATTTTGCTGTAGAAGTTTCAGCTGTAGTTGTGGACAAGTTATTGGTGAGTGTAGAGCTGGTCTGAAGCACGGGATCGTGTCTTCTGCAGCCTTCGGTTTAGGTCCTGTGGGACTGATCCTCCCTTTTGCAGGAGCACATTTGATTTCCAGAGATGCTCCAGGCATGCACAGCTGCAGTCAGCTGCGTGCCTCCTGGGCTTTGTCTGCTCGTTCCTACTTCTGCCCCCGCATGACCCAAAGAGGAGAACAAGGCTACCACCAACTCCTCTGCCTCTTCTCTTGCAACCTTCTGTCCCTTTCCCATCCTCGTTCTGGATGATGCTCTTAGCGCTGGATGAGGGTGAAGATGGGAACATCTGTGAGAGCCAGCGTGTGCGTGAGCTCAGGAGAGAGCTTGAGTGTGCAACAGGTTAATGAATGGAAAGAGGGAGGGAGATCTTCCAAATTACGCTTTCCGACATACAACCTTCTTAAACCTTTGGAAGAAAGATAACTGAAGGCAAGGGGAGGCAAAGGCTACTTTCAATCCTTTTTCACACCTGGAGAATTGTTAGTTGATCTGGGATCGTTGTAGGAGAGGACTTTTCCATAGCTTCAGAATGTTCCTGTGCCTAAAACCTGCAGAAACAAGCCATAAAAACCCCGTAAGTTTTTTCCCATGTGCAGCAGCCAGAGGAGAGCAGGAGAAAGCAAGGACATCACCAAGGCTGTAAAATAAATGTGTGAGATGAAAAGCTTGCAGGAGCCTGGGGAGGGGGGTTACTAGCAGCCCTGGTGACCTGACCAGAGCAGGAGCTGGGGTAGTTTCCCTTTTAATCTCATATCTGGGACTAATTTTACCCTGGGTGTACAAGTGAGACTCGGCCTCTAGGTTGAGCATCACCAGTAGGACCATTAGGGCACCGAACAACACGTTGAGGTTCTTCTCCACTGTTTCAAAAAAATGATGAGATCTCACTCCTCCGTTTCATAGACAGTGTCTACAAAAGTGTCAGACATAGAGGCGTGGAGTCCTGGCACTGGTTACTGGCTTGCAGCATATTGTGGGAAAAATCCCCTTCCCTCCATTGCCCCAAGGGCAGAAGTGATATTAACCAACGTTTATGTACAGCTAATGGTCTTGTAACTCTACAAGCGCATAACAACTGTCTTACCTCTCCAGCTGGCTAAGCTATGGACTCTTTAAACACTGTCTGCTGCCTGGGGGACAGCTCCATATGCCATTTTAGGTACTTGGATAGACTTTTTAGTTTAAAATGTTTTCTCTGTTTCTATTGCTCTAGTGATTGATGTATCTCCCTGTGCACTTACCTGTAACATTTCTGCTGTGGGCAGTCTTCTGCATCTTGCTCTCATTTCCCTCTTCACGGACTGCTCACCAGCTCGGCCGCTTGGGCAGGTTAGGCTGGTCTGGTGGGTTGTGATACCCAACGGGAAAAATTATTATCATGAAACAACAGGTACATACAGGATTTTCTTTTGTGCTGGCCTTTTGGGGTTGCAGATAGCCAGGCCATGGCTTCACACCAAGCGGCTGTGAAGAGAAGGAAAGTGAGATGAAGAACTGAATGGTGTATCTATTTCCTTACCTTAACCAAAGCTCATCATACCCAAGGAACAGAAGAGCTTCTTGGAGGCAAGTGTCCCTACATGGCAAATTGAAGAAACTCTCCATATTTGCACTGTGATGTGCCCCATGACGGTATCAGAAATG